CAGTAGCATGATTATAATCGAATGCTATCAAATATCGCTATTAATCGAATCAGATATATAGCGATATTTAGTATTACCGCTAATAAACAAATTCGCTATATATTGATTACTATCACAATCGTGTGTAATCGGCAGGGTGATTGGTATCAATATATAATTACCCGGCTAGTAATCAATATATATCGGTCTATTTTTTTTGCTGATAGAGTAGAAGCATGAGTATAGGGTTTGCAATAAATACAATTATTATTTACATCTATATTGCAAAGAAGTAGCAAATAGAATATATAGGTAATATGAATATGATAATTTTTGAATAATTAATATTAAATAAAAATAATCTGAATTAACAAAATTTTATTAAATATAATTTACTCATGTTCATTAGCATATATAAAATTTATTTATATTACTTTACAAGGCTTATTATATATAACTTATTTGTGAGATGAGGCACAATCTCAAAGTGCCAAAGTTGGTTAATTAACTTATACCTTTATCTGGTTTAAATGTATACAATACATGAACTACAAAATATCAAGTTCTTTAATAATAATTTTAACTCTATATGGCTCTATAACTTATAATATATGTATTTACATAATTTATAAAAATTTATATTATAGAAATTTTTTGATATAAGATTGCAAGTTAATATGTGCAAATTAAATAATTTGCTTTTCTGTAAGTTTTGCCATTACTTAATTTGTAATAATAACCTTTATTTTCATTATCAGAAAATATAATATTTTTTATTAAAACTATATTCATCTTCATTATCAGAAAAATTTTTATTATTGTCATCAAAAGGTTCTGAATTAAAATCTAAAGAATTATCAAGTATACTTATCTTAATCTCTAGTAAAAATTTATCATTCTCACTTATCATAACTTTTAAATTGCTAAAGACAATCACAGAGTGAGTAGAGATATGAGTTAATAGGATAGAGGGAGTAGTTATAGTATTTATCTCTGTTTTTGGTAAAGTTTTATTGGTTTCTTTATTTACTACAGTTTCTGAATTATTTAAATTAGATTGTTTAATTATATGCATATTACAATTTGTAGTACTGATTATTTTTTGATATTTAGATGAAAAAATATCTGTATTTGAATTTTTATAAAAGCAATTTATAATATCTTGAATCTGGTTTTTAGTTAAACTCAAAATTGCACTTGTACTATATATTATTGCTTGGATTTTTTCTATTCCTATTTCTATAAGTAATATATAAATTTTTTTTACTCTAAATATTCTTTGATACAAATTTGCATTACTAATATTTGGAAAAAGTGCTTTTATCTTATTATATACTAATATTTTTGCTAATTGGTTATAAATTTTATTTATATATTTAATGTCTTTGATTCGATCCTCATATGCCTTATAGTAGCAATACCAGTATAAAATCTCTTTTTGTCTAGCTTTTATTGCTATAGTAAATAAATAGGCTATATTTTGTACTATAATTTTGCTAGATCCTGTTATAATTGCTTCTAGCAAGAATTTAAAAATTTGTATATCAAATACTTCACTAACTTTATTATTAATATTTTTTTTAATAAATACAGATAAATTATGTCTTAAGACTTGCTCTACTCTTTTGTTATATGGAATTTTTATTTTGGTATTTTTTGCTTAATTAGTAAGCATTGGTTCTGATAGGGTAATTTTATAGTCAATAATAGAATTAATTTCATTTTGTATATCAGAAGATGTGCTTTGCATTGATCCTTGACTCTGAAATTTCTTTTTCCTGTTTCTTTCCCTTATTTCATTACTAATCTTTTCTCTATTTATAGTTTCTACAAATTCAAGAATCTTGGCTAAATTGTCATTGATAATGTCTTGTAGTAAAGAAATTGCAAATGTTTTAGGTTTTGCTAGAGATTCAGAAATTGTCAAGCTATTTTCTTGTTCAGGTAAGCAATCAGAAGTGATGTTTTTCTCTCCTCTAGAATGACCCTCAATAGGTAGTGGAATGGACAATAACCCCTTTGGCTCATCTTTTATTCTGGAAGAAATAGTACTTTGTACCTGGATCTGGGTACTTACTGATAATTCTGAACAAGACAGAGACTGCAAAATATTTTTTGTAGGAGATACATCTTGCTCATTAGTGATGTCTCGAGCCTGATTCTGTTTCAATTTCGTGACTCTGTCTTTAAGCTCAACATTCTCAGCAGTGAGATTGGCGGTTTCTGTTTTATTTTTCTTTTCTAGTTCTTCGAATCTGGTCTTGAGCATGGCATTTTCTTCTATAGCTTGTTTCAATCTTGTGTTTTTGGCCTTGACTTCAGAATTTTCTTTTCTAAGTTCAGTAATCTCAGATGCAAGCCTAAAGTTTAATTCTCTCAAGGTATTGATTGTCAATTGATCGTTCGGCATTGTTTTATTACAAAATAGGATACATTCAAAAGGTTAACCACACGAAAAAATATTGATGTAAAAAATCGTGCTTTGCTTTATTGATTATAATAAAAATCAATCTATCTATTGTTCTATACTACAAATTTTTCGTTTGTCTAAACTATCTGTACCAACACTATCTATAATCCGGCTTTATTTTTATCTATTCTGAATAAAACAAAAATGATCACCAGTTATATATTTATACAAAACATGCGGTGTCAAAAAATGAATTAACAATCCCACGTTATCGATTGTCCGTTAAACTAGTTTATCTTTTTAGACAAAACCCGCTGAAAGTTTATGCTGTCTGCCTTCTCCAATGCTAATAAATTTCTCGGAAATCCGTACGAAAGAATGGTCATTAGTTTGCAAGCCCAGAAGTTGATTCATTGAGATGTACCTGGCACAAACGAAATATTCATACCTTTCGCCAAAAATAAATTATTGATCATTATTTCTGATTGCGAATCCAGTATACAAACATTACCTTAACGATTTGAAATCGCTTTATGGTCGAGAAAAACTTTTATCATGAAAATGTATCAATGCATATTCGAACAGTTGATGAAATTAATCTATTTGTCAATGTAAATTCTTGCGTAACGCTATCATGTGTTCTGTACTATGGAAGAAATTCAAAAATCGCGATAACGCTTAAGTCAAAAAATTATTAATTATTCTCTCATTATGACCAAAAACGAAATACCCAAATACTTCATTCGTAAATATAGTAATTGGAACATAGTCGGCTTTTTAAATGAATGTGACCTAGAACCATTTGAGAGAAAAATAGACGAGTACCTTAAAAGCCTTCAAAAGATTAAAGCGGAGAAAGGAATGAGGCAAAAAAAAGCAAGTCAGCTTCTTGACCGATACCAGAAGGCAAGTAAACACTTTTTTAAGTATAGGTAGAAAATAGTGGCGTGACGATCGTAGGCCTCCTTGGCCTTTCGTCATTCAAGGCTCTTTGCTGAGCCACAAAACCAGTGTTAGAGCGCAATTAACCTCTTTGGTTACTTGACGTTCAAGGCTCTTTGCTGATCTAACATTGGACCCATTGGGGTTGGGTGACCTCCTTGGCTACCTGATACTCAAATGGGATGGAAATTAAAGTATGAGCAAAAATTTTACAGATTTCCAAATCTTCTATGCTAGAATCCTAGGCCAGATCGAAAAATCGCAAAATCTTGGGAAAAAGAACGCACACGTAAACAAGTCCATCTTCACCAACCAATAAGTGGAACTGTAAATGGGTCAATTAACACAGTTAACGGAATAATGAATGGGGGGAAAGTTGGAACTATCAACGAACAAGAAAATCCTCTTCTCAGAAGAACGTCGAGAAAAATAAACAAAGTAAATTATGCTGAAAACTCAAATAGCGTGAATAGAGTGAATAATACCAGCAAGCGCACTTATGAGGAATTACCAGATGAAAAATCTGAGGTATGTAAAAAGCTGTCAGTCAATACTTTCTGTTTTATCTATCTCTAATTTTTCAACGCCTAGGATGAGGATGACGAGAGCGACGAAGATGACAATGAAGATGACAGCGAGGATGACGATGAAGATGACAACGAGGATGACGATAAAGATGACGACGAGGATGACGACGAGGATGACGACAAAGATGGTAACGATGATGACGAAGACGAGAAGACCAAAGAGAAAAAGAAGTTGGAGAAAAGATTGATGATTTTGTTTTGAGATTTAAAGCGATAAATACAGATGACAAGTGGAGACTTCCTTCGGATAGATTTGTAGAAGATGTCTTATATGATTGGGCAGTGACTCACCGTTCTGAAACGTGGATATTCTACACTCATCGCATTGGTCATATTGGTTACTAAATATACATGTAATGAACTATCGATTTTTTCATTTAAACTTTCTATTAAGACTCGCACACTCCTTTATACTTGATACAGAGTGTCAAGAAGTTATGGATCTGTTTAATCCGGAGGAAAAAGAAACAATTTTAAATACCAATAAAAAATCTTTTCCAGGTGTACAAGATGATATAAAAAGGAATGTCATGAAATATCATAAGGTATTTTGTTTGTTAAAGATTGTCCGAATTGCGAACATTTATCAATAAATCTTCTAAATCCCACAGAGAAACGTCAGCGAACTTCGACAAATCGTTATGAAACCATATTTGAAAGATGGGGAGGTCTATAATCCAAAATCACATTACGATCTGGAGTGGATTCACTTAGTTTTCAATAAATTGTAGTTAACTCTCATCATTACTGCATTATATATAATATTTTAATCCATGGCTGATTTTTTTCTTATCAACATAGTGTTATTGAATGGGAACAAGGAGTGAATGCGCTAGCAGAGGATAATTTGGAAGCATGGATTGTGAGCCATGTATGGACCTTTATCGTCGATATGGCATTAAAGGACATTGAAGAAACGAAAATTGGAAAGTATGTTATTAATGTTCAAACAAAAATTATTATCATATTTTTACAATATTAGTGACTAAGTACATATTTATCTTTCTTTCTATTTTCATAGATCAGATGGTGGTTCGTCTGCATCAAAAATGCGTAAAAACAAAAAAAGAAAAGTTGGAAAAACCGTTATTCGTGTAATAAACATTTAAATCTGTAATCTTATAACGTATAGATGTCCAAATTAATTTCTTTTTTTAATATCAATAGGGCAGAAAAATTGACATATTACTAAAGCTCCGTAATAGCTCAAGAGAAATATTAGCTGGAGAAGTAGCTAGAACAGGCGACATTCATAATAAAAAATATTTAGGAGATAGAATAAAATTATTAAAACTTATGAAAGACATGCTTGATATAATAATTGAATCACTTCCGCCAACAACAATTGAAAATTACAGGAGTCTTTGTACATTTGGAATACAACTTTTCAGTAAGTAAACATTATTCATATTTTATGTTACATTAATTGGCTTTGTAATTAATCTCTAACCACTTAGAAAATAACGGCACCATCTATGTTATGGACTATCCTGGAGGGGTCATTGCACGATTAACTAAAAAAAGCACAATTAAAAGCGCCAATATATATTGAAGGAATTTGCGAATTAATTTTATCAATAATTACAATGTTGGAATTGAAGGTAATGTTTAGTATTGAACTATGTATTTCTAATACATAGGTATTCATTTGCTTTTGACATTTTTCCATATCTTGCAGAATGCAATCCGCGGGATCCTCCAAATAATCGAAAAAATAGAAAATGACAAATTAGAGGCCCAAGTTTTTCAGAGAAACAATACAGGTGTTCAATTACCACTTGTAGCAACAACACCAACGCCTAGAACTTCGCTCACAAATAAGAAAAAGTAAATAGAGTAATCCGTAAAGCAAACGGTATCAGGGAGTAGTGCATAAATAAAAATCATTCATGATTCTATTTGTATGTAAAACATATAACAAATATTGCGAGCATTTAATAAAATACTGTATTTGTTTGTAATATTAATATTCGTTATAAAATGATTCTGCAGGAGAGTATCACAAAACCTTATACCTAATTTCGTACGACTTGTCATTGGATTAGGTACCCTTATGTCAAGCAAATTCTGGGCTGAAGATCACTTCCGATCATAAATTTCGTATATCGGACAGGATCTTGTGTAACAAAACAAACGCAAAAAAACACTAGCTTCCGACCTTTAAATAAAAGTTATCAGCACGAAATTTTAGTTATAGAAAGCATTTTTATACACTAAATATATGGGAAATTGTTGATATACTACGACCCAAAATTTTTAGGCCGGAGATTCGGAATTTGCTTGACATAAGGATACCCTTGTCATTATATCTTACTAACGCTAATATTAATGAAAATTTTTTACGACTCTTGATGTAGATAAGCTTTGTGGACCCGTGGGACCGTTAAGTCATATGTTAGTATGACATATAAATTATTTTTCTAACGATGTGTTATATTAAAATAGTACATATGTGTATTTATGAAGTGCTGTTGGCTTTTTTATAACAAATCTATTTAAAATCGCAAAGCTACTGTTGAAGTACCATTGAAGTGCTGTAATAAAGCCACACATGTATTTACAGGTATATTATTTATGATATTTCTTTGTTTGTATCCTGACAAAATGTTTGTTGAATTTCGTAGATGCATGTTGATTAAACATCTTATATGTATATGCTTTATTTAAAATTCAGTAAAATTATTGCTAATATATACATGAGAAGAGTATAGGTATTTATAGCTTATCAGGTAATCTACCCGAGTGAAATAGTGATGGCGCAAAAATTTGGTGGTCCCGTGATTTTTATTCAATCCAATTGTAAGATCAGCGTGTAACGTACAAATGCGAAGTAAAAAAAAATGAAGGCGAAAAAAAAAACCAGAAATTGCAAAAACTCATAAAGCCGCAAGGGAAATTTGTCTTTGTTACTATATAAAAGTTTTCAGCACAAAAATTTAGATAAATTCTTTCTACTTTGAATTAATAAACATTAATTTTTAAATGAACATCAGGATATCATTGTTATTGAATTAGTTATGGGATCACCAAATTTTTGCACCATCACTATTTTACTCAATCTACCCTTAACATTAAAAACAAACATGAGACTAACAATTATGCAAACATGAACAATATCAATAAGGGGTTGATTATTATATATAAGGCAGTATCCTCTTATATAAATCTTTTGTGTATAATAAACTTTTTTATTTTTTATTTTTACTGATATTACACTTTTTTTTATCTTTTCACACTAGGTTGTTTTTGTATTAATAAGATGACTTCTATAGCTACTTGACATGAGTTTGCTTTGGTGAGTTGTGTGATTGAATATGCATACAATTTTCTTGCTTTAACAAAACAGAGGGCTCAGTACTTTGGCAATAGTAGTTCATTTGTTCTGCAAAATATACAATCTAGTTGTCTTTTAATAATATAGTCTTAGAGGAAGTCATCACCTTTCCTATTTATATTTTATTTTTGCTTTTCTTTTATTTTTAATACTCTTCTTTGGTTGACTATACTTAGTCAAACATAAAATTTTTACTATTGAAGCAATAGGGCCTTTAACTTTGTATATTATGTTTCAAGAAATAATATAGTACAGAAACTAGTATTAAATAGTTTAGGATTTGTATACTCCCTCTTTTAAAAGCATGTTATATATTTTATTCATTTTTTTTATATATAAAATTAGCTAAAAACCCATACAATAATACACAAAAACAAATATTATCTATATTAAAAAAGTAGTAAATATAAAAAACTATTTGATAGAGTATGGTGGCTTAGTGAAGTAGTCTAGTTATTACTTTAACAAGTAGCAGGTTCAAATTTCACAGATGATATTTTTAAAAAATAAGCCTATATTATAATAATAATCATCTATTGATCAGTTGGGTCCTAAAACCTATAAACTTAGTAATACTATATTTATATAGAAGCTTTAATATATAAAAGGCCAAAAAACTGGAATAATCAAAACTCATTTAGGAAGACCCAAGTAAAAAGTAGCTATAATTTTTGACAGTATTACAGAAAAGACTCAAATTTGAAAGTTAGGGCCAAGATTGGAAAACCAAATAACAACAAGATTCTTTAATAGAGGGATTTACCAACCTGACACTAGTTTAGAAAAGTTAAAAATCTGTGAGATATTATAGAGTAAACCAATTCTGGCTAGCCAGTGTAGAAAACCAGTAATAAAAAGCTCTACCTTATTAGACTAGAGGCTATGGAAGTTAAGTAACAGAAAAATACTAGGCATATCTAGAGAACTAGCCAACTGAATTAGAGGAAAAAAACATATATAAGGAAATCATGTACTAAGGCAAGACAAGAGTATTGGCACCTAAAGCTAAGCCAAGATTAAATCTTCTGAGTTACTAGTTAGAAGTAAAGAATAGGCCAATAAGAAAATAATAGAAAAGGAAAAGTAAAAGGAAAAGTTTGAATATGGATATTGGGATTAGAAATAAACATTATAAGGACAAAAGCAGTTAAATAGAAATAATCTCAACTGCAAGTAGAAGCCTTAGCAACTGCACAAAACTAGATTGGCCCAAATAAAATAGAAAAGGCTTTAATAGGTTTAACTCAAAGATAGCTGTGTGTTTGCTTAATAGAGAAATGCAAGCTATTAATTAGTTAGTGCAAACTTAGGATAAGCTGTGAAAGTTCTAAGGCAGAGTATACAATTTAGTGAACCAGACTAAATAGTAGTTTCTGAGTTAGTATGATATGCTTATAAATAGTTAGAATTAGAAGGTTTAAATGAGTAACTCTCTAGTTGGATTATAGATACAATATCTAGTATAAAACCTGTAGGCAAATTACTTAAATAGGCACTCAAAAGGTATATATATGGCTAGTTGTATTTTTATTATAACTATAATAGCAAAATAATTACTAATAAAGAGTTTCTTATAGCCAAAAAGATTATTTTAACACTGAAAAAAAAAACTATTTGATAAATAAGATGTAATAAAAAGTTATACTATACAAGCATTATTATTATACTCAAAAATTTTTAATATATAGTATAGATACTATTATATAGAGCATAATTGTTATCTATCATTGTCTGTATAGTAAGGAGAAGAAGATTACACAGGCTTCTTATAGCTTAGTTTACTAAACTACAAGATGAGAAATAGTTTAAATATATCTACTTCAAAATTTTTATTTTATATTAATATCTGCATTCATATAATTTATTAGTCAATTGTAATCTCAAAAATAGTATTAAAAAACTATAAATCAAATAAATACATGTATCTATATACATTGTATAGAGTGAGTATAGAAAAAATAAAATAATTTATTGTATATATTATTGTTATAATACTCTAATTACTATTCAAGATTATGTGAGTATTAATTAATAATACCTTAACCATATGGGGGTGAGTCAATAGAAAAGGGACAAATCATTTTTAGTAATTTTTTTTTAATTTTTAAATTAAAATATCT